GGGAATGATTTACGAATTAACGAAAAGAGGAATTTTCGTAGGATTTATCTCGATAGAAATTAATATCAATCGGCAATTATATCTTGAAGAATACAAATTGCTCTTTTTACAAGTTTTTGGTTAGTGCTTTCGATCAAAACCATCTGGATATAACCAGTCAGCTGTAGTTTGTAACACACGTTTACACGTGTATTTTGCAATTTGTTTGATGATCATTTGAACGTATCACTTGAATTCAATTATAATAAAACGTAATAAGATACAATTGCAACACAAAATGATTCTTTTTAGTTCGCATATAACAATATACGGTCGGATTATATCTTTTGATACAAATGTACAGGCGCTATTTTGAGTGCTGATCAATTCGATCTACTTCTTCTAGAGAGGTATTCCAAGAATTAATTTGCTGGTTATGTGTTCATCGCGTCAAAAACAATCCGAATAAAAAGAAATTTGAGATGGCCATGAAATGAAAATGCGTCCGCGATGTATTTTACTTTTATGTTATTTTTAAACCAATGATATACAAAACACTTGGACTAAATCTTATAGTTTCAGTCTTTGTCTATAGTTCAAAAATTATTCTTGGAATATATTTTAGGTGCTTGGCTTTAATATTCTATAATTCCATGCCTTTTAACATCTAATTAATTACTATTTAAAGTGTTCCTTATCTTTTTCCTGTCATTCCTGAGAGATTCTAATAAAAACACTATTTTTTTATAGGTTTAAAGATTTGATAATTATATTATAGAATTTATATATTTAAATCTTTGATATTGTAAGTCTGTGGCTTTTCTGTTGATCGTGTAAAAGAATGTCACTAAAGCCTAAACGAGTTGACTTTACTCAGACATGGGAAGCATTACAAGAAACTGTAAAGTGTGTAATAACATTATCATATGTTCCACGTGCAACATGGTATGATAGATTCAGGTACTTTGTGTTATCTTCTGATTATTTTTAGAATAATTGAAGACTGCGTATCTTGATTTTGTGTACATGTGTGTTTTGTTTCAGTGATGTGTATTCATTATGTGTGGCATATCCAGAACCACTTGCTGATCAATTGTATTGTGAGACAAAAAGGTTTTTAGACAATCATGTCTTCCAGTTGTTAACAAAAGTTCGTGCTCAAGGTGAATCTAGTTTGCTGCAGGGATATCATCAAGCCTGGACAGAATATTCACAGGGCATTAACTACTTGCATCGCTTGTACTTATATTTGAATCAACAACATATTAAAAAGCAAAAGCTTTCGGAGGCAGAACTGATTTATGGCATGTCTTCCGCTACAGTTGTTGATTGCCAAGAGCAAATGGAAATAGGAGAGTTAGGTTTAGATATCTGGAAAACAAGAATGATTATACCATTAAGAAAACAACTTGTCTCATTATTGTTAGAGAATATTCATGCGGATAGAGTTGGTACATCTCCCACAGCAAGCACAGAAGTTATTTGTGGTGTGATACAGAGTTTTGTTCGAGTTGAAGAATATAAAATGAAGGGACAAGTAGATGATGTAACAATCTTTATTATGCTATTTCTTTATGTTTCTTGCAAAATTTGTTATATAGTACATTCTGTCTTAGATGTATCAAGAAATTTTTGAAACACCTTTCCTTGAGGCTAGTGGAGAATTTTATATGAGGGAAGCAGCTGAATTGTTTCAACAGTCGGACGTAACGCATTACATGGAAAGAGTAACGTGGCGACTCATTGAGGAGGAACTGCGTGCCCATAAGTTTCTTTATGCAAGCTCTGTGCCTAAAGTATATTTTATATATTATATTTAAATTATATTCTTATATTATATTTAAATATTTAATATATCATGTGCTAAATTAAAACGGTCGATCGTTTAATAGTAATGCATTGTAGGTGAAACAATGCTGTGAAGAAAAAATGATAGCTATGCACGTGGCGTGGCTACATTCAGAAGGAAAAAATATGATAGACAATGAACGTAAAAGAGATTTAAGTCTTTTGTATCCATTGTTGAGGTCGTTACCGTCAGGTTTGGCAGATCTTGTACAAAAATTTACCCAGCACATTACTCAGCAAGGATTACAGGCAATTGGGTCTTTACAGGGAGAAAATGTAAGGAACATGAGATGACAATAAATATAATTTTATTTGACGCGAAATTGTTTTATTACTTAATACTTACATAATGTAGATACATACGCAATTCGTGGAAACCATGCTGGAGGTGCATCGTAAATATTCGGAATTGATTAAAGATGTGTTTAGAAGCGATCAAGCTTTCGTAACTGCTCTCGATAAAGCATGTTCAGTGGTCGTTAATCATAGGCCTGTTCCACGGCAGCCAGCTAGAGCGCCTGAATTAGTAAGTATTTTAAGTAATGGTATTTCAATACAGTTTGGTTCAAATTCGTTTAATTAGTGTTATTTCAATTTAGCTTGCTAAATATTGTGATTTCCTGTTAAAAAAATCTGCCAAGGCCGCGTCAGAAGGAGAAGTAGAAGAAAAATTAGCACATTGTATTACCGTGTTCAAATACGTTGATGACAAGGATGTTTTCCAGAAGTTTTACGCACGAATGTTGGCAAAGAGATTAATACACCAACAGTCACAGTCGATGGATACCGAAGAATCCATGATTGACCGTTTAAAACAAGCTTGTGGCTATGAATTCACGAATAAGTTACATCGAATGTTCACTGACATGTCAGTTTCAGCAGATTTAAACGCCAAGTTTACAACGAGCTTACGAGAAGGTGATAGAGAAAATCAATTAGGCATAGGTTTTGTGGTATATGTGTTACAAGCAGGAGCTTGGCCATTAGGTCTACCACCATCTTCAGGACCATTCGATATTCCTCAACAACTAGAAAAATCTATACAAACATTCGAAACTTTCTATCATGCGCAATTTAATGGGCGAAAACTTACTTGGTTGCATCATCTTTGTCAAGGTGAACTCAAGTTTAATTACTTAAAAAAACCCTATTTGGTCACTGTACAGACATACCAAATGGCACTGTTGCTTCTTTTCGAGCATTGTGATTCGATACAATGTAGAGAAGCAGCCGCATCATTACACTTATCACATGATCAATTAGTTAAACATGCGATTAGTTTGGTTGATTGTAAAATTTTAAAAAAGTCAACAGACGGAGAATTAGAAGAAGATACAATTTTGTCGCTCAATTTCGATTATTATAATAAAAGAACGAAATTTCGTATAACTGGTACATTACAACGGGATGTACCGCACGAATGTCACGATGTTGAAACTACACATCGGAGTGTCGACGATGACAGAAAATTGTACCTGCAAGCAGCTATAGTTCGTATTATGAAGAGTCGTAAAGTTTTGAGACACAATCAACTAGTACAAGAGGTGAGATTTTATTTTGACATGAAACGTAGGAATCGTTTAAAATAATTGAACATAATAATTTGGTTCCAGGTACTAAGTCAATCTAAAGTTACATTTGCACCATCAATCAGCATGATCAAAAAATGTATTGAAGCTCTTATAGATAAGCAATATATCGAACGTACGCCAAATAATGCAGATGAGTATTCGTACGTCGCATGATTCTATCGTACCATCTGACACAATCATTAATTTATTTCATTCAGGGTGCTTTGTGATCATTCATAACACAATAGTTTTTGCTAACATTTCAATAAAACGATTAACTATCTTAAATTTTATTTGATCAAACTTGTTTTCGTGGAAACGAAAGATATCTCTCATTTAAAACTGAATCTCGTTTGAAAGGTCAAATAAAGCATCCTGAATTGCTTTATTGTCCCTAAATCAATCGATAACTTAGTTGATTCAATGACTTGTAATATATGTGCACGGAATAAAGATGATGTTACTATTTTATGCTAGGACAATTTCATTGGTTTCCCAAGAGTAAAAATTTAATCACTACTCGTTTTGAGATTCATTGAATCTATACGAAGAATAATTTAATATATTTTTACAAAATCTATACGTAACAGTATTCCAAGCATATTTTGAATTCTACTTTTTATCTTGTTTATAATAAGTCTCTGGTCCCGTACGTACCAGTTAAAACTGGTAGTAATATGTATAACACTTTTGATAGCCATATATTGCACGATACATAGTAAGATTTAAGTGACATTGCAAAAAATTGTTTGCATCAGACACTCTTTGTTCTTTAAAAATGTTACGTAATATAAGGAATGTTATTAACGAGTTCCACTACAGCATAGATCTGGGTTGATACTATTAGGAACGTGGAGTTTTTATTTGCAACAATTCTGGATCCAGCAAAGGATTGTCATCCGTCTCTGATTCTAATGGCTTATTCATGCTGTTAACCACAAGAGGTGATGCAGTGTTGCTATATGGCGAAAATCCTGCCCATTCCATGCCAAGGTATATAGGCGGTGGGCTGCCCAATGGTGGTTCCAGTAATAAATGATCTGATTGTTGCTGCTGTTGCTGCTGTTGTTGCACTTCTTGACATTCAGAAGGTGGTAAATGCGAAGTCAAGTGAGTGGTTACTTTACATTGTTTCTCTTGTTTTCGCCATTTTGCTCTTCTGTTTTGAAACCATACCTATGAACAAATTTTTTGTATCGAGTAATTACTATCAATGACGCATTTTCTGAGGCAATAGAACGCAGAGCCGTTACCTGCACTCTGGCTTCTGTCAGTTGGATACGTAGAGCAAGTTCTTCCCTAAAAAATACATCAGGGTAATGTGTTTTCTGAAACGCTCTTTCTAATTCCTCCAATTGAAAGTTGGTGAATGTGGTGCGATATCTCCGCTGCTTTCTTTTTCCAACTCCAGTGGATTGCCTGTCTTCGCTTCCCGGACTTGGCGAAAAGTCGTATGCTGCAACAATTTATTCATTCTTCTCAACATTCGTTGTCAGATATTCGACAGACTTTGTGCAAGATCGTTTCGTTTCAAAGCGAAGCACAGTCGTTGTGAAACATTACGGATATTAATGAATTGATACACGATTTGCATGACGTTCTATCGCTACACTTAATCACGTGGAATTTACGCGGCGTAAAATGGTTCATAACTGTTAAACTGATTACCACTAACTCTATTTAAAACAAGGGCTGCCGATTCGCTTAATGCATTTAGCAATAATTTAATTGAGGACTGCCCCAACTTACGAGCCGACAGGTAGAGAGTGGCAGTTAATTAAATCAGGTCTGGGGTGGCAGGGTGCACTTACAGAATTTTGTAGGAAAGCAAACTGAAGAAGATTGAGCGCCTATCAGACCAGCCAGAGCAGTCGACTGTAGATCTCCTCCGGGATTGATCTCGTCTGGTGCTGCATTGGAAGCTACGATCGCCCCAGTGGATACTAGAGGATCACGCGGTGCACCCACCAAAAATAGTTGCCTGCTATTCTCGTTTCCACTTTCGTCTTCTTCCTTTAAATCCATTGCAATATTTGGCTTCCGTCGTTTAATTAATTAGCCGCAGAATAGATGAGACAGGCGGTACACCGAATGAAAGATAGGCTAATGGTAATTGAATCACTACCAGGTTGAGAAGTTCGTGTGGGTACCACAGCGACTCCGCAACTCTGCTATTTCTTTTCTCTTTTCCTCCTTTTTTTCCTTACACCTGTACGACGTAGATAGGGTAGGGGATTGAGTATATTCAACATGAACTCCCTCAAGAGGGGTAGTGAAGCCTCAAAAATGTATTGCTTATACACCACGAATCAATAGCATGAGTGTACAGTAGACAAACGGTATATTTAACTTTCCCCATATGCTCATTAACAGATTTCGGAGAGATTAATATTCACACGATAGCCAATCGTGTTGTCATCGATCTTTCGACATTAATCGTAAGAGATATCAAATGGAATCTTTATCACGTTTTTGCAATCGTTTTACAAAAATACGACTTTAATAATTCAATAGTTACAAACTTGTTGCATTAAATTTGTTTTTATTTAATATTCTGAAGATATTTAATTGTAACTTTTATTTTACGAAAAGGAATAAGGGAAAATCAGAATATATTGTTCAAGACATAAAACCTTTATACATCTTTTTTATTAGAACAGTGTAGTGTATTACAATATGTACAAAATTTGCTACATTCATTAATGTTTAAATAAAAATGTACTGTGCCTTAAAAGTGCACATTTTATATTTGAAGCACTACTATGGTAACTTCTTATTAGCTCATATAAAACTGAAAATAGTGCTATTTATGTTTTACTCATGAAAATGTGAGAAAATATATTTAGCACAGTGCGTATCACAGTAGGTGCATGAAGTAAAATGTTCAATATGAACTTCGTTAAAAATTATTATCATCTTTAGTATTCCTCCTCATGTGTGCATGTCGAAACACATTAGTTGGACCCATGTATCGTTATTAGAATAGATATTCAGACATAAAAAAGGCGAACCTTGCTGGTAGAGACTAATAGATCGTCGTCGAAAAATTTCGTTTCTATCACAACATTCCCACTGTACATAGATAAAAAAGATTTTAATTACAATGTTAAAATAGAAAATTACAACAACACGATATTATATATTCACTTTAAGACATTAGCTGGCATCATTTGGCTTTCAGGAGCAGCTTGGATTAAACTTTGCCATGTATTAGTGCTGTTAGGTATGACAAATCCAAATTCAAAGAACCATTCTTCCAAGCATCTACCTTTAAACAATACCTTTTGCTCTAACCTAAACCTTTCCATTGGTTCTGCGGAACTAAAATTAATTTCTCGTGATATTGCACGACATTTTAGAATTTTTTTAGGTACTCTTGCCTCGTGTTCAACATCAGGTACAGACCTTTGCAGAAAAGATTCTATTGTTAATATACAAAGATCTTATCATTTGTCAGAGATTGTATAGGTTATGAAACACTTACAAATCTTCGTTGCCTTGCCACAGTATTTTACCACTATCGGCATCTCGTAAATTCATCCAATTTCTATAATAAATAACAGTTAAGGAATACATTACTACGCGCAAATTCTGTAAAATAGGTAAGATAAACATTATCGTAACTGACTTTAACCTAGAAAATGCCACGCGATTTGTTTGCAACAGGTATATAATTTTATTATACGAGAAAAAGGATACACCTGAAAGCCTTTAAGTATATCTTCGCCTCGAGAAGGCATAATTAATCACAAACAAAGCTAATTATTCGTATTTCGTATCTATGTAAATGCACTGTCCATTCAGGCGTTATTGATTCCTTACACCGTTAATTCGTAAACAGAAAGTAGCCACTGGTCATGTCAGCTAATTTCAGACTTCATTGACAATATTTACAATTAGAGGTGAGTTAATAAAAATTCGTATTTGAAAAGTAGATACTGTTTGTAATATAAAGTAAATCAAGAAAATAAATACGACAGATGTAAAGGTGTAGTATTGCATATTATATTTTATAATTCAACATATTATATTTTATAATTCAACATATTGCATATTTTAATTTATGATTCAACATACGAATATCTATGAATTTACAGATACTGTTAGATTATGAACGTAAAATTTTGGCAATTGTTAAATGTATAGAAGATCTTTTTCAAATGCAAGAGATTAAAAGGCGTCGACGTAACTTCTACTAAAAATGTATCCTATAAGATGAAAAAAAGTGAAAGAAAGTATTTTATAGAATCGACGAAATTATAAATATATCTTTGAACGTTATTTATTTAATGATCCATTACATATTGTATCGTATTCATTACATATTTGTTTTGTATTGGATTATATTAAGCAAATAATTAATTATATATTGTATATATTGTCAGTATTGTTTTGTCTAATTCCATGTATTTTATTGTGTTGTCACATCTAGAAAATAATTAATTATAAACTATTGCAAATTTAGAATAGAATTACTAAATAAATTAATTTTTTATAGGAAATTCAAAGGTTCTATTTTCTTAAATTCAAGTGTCCTCTCTCCATTTCTCAAATTCAAAAGAGAAACCTAGTAAAATCTAAAAATTTTCATCTAGCTTATATAACTATAGTTCTTATAATTAATTAATACAAATATTATCTTATAATAAATAATTCTTTGAGGCTTTTACGTAAATGTTCTTAAAATGCAATTTTAAATAACTTAATTTTTTTTAAATAACTTAATTTAATCTAGACAGTAGATAACTCAGTTTAATTCATTAATTAGTAATGCAAAAAATCAAGTCCTTTAGATAGAGTTTGAAATTCAAATGAAATAAATAAAAGAAAAAAGCTGAGAATGCAATTAGCATAATGCAACAGTAAAAGTTTATAAATTAATCCTGTTCATTCTTTTTGTAAATAAAAATTTATTCCAGAAACGTTATCGTCATGTAGTGGTGAAATTAATTTTTATTTCTATCCTTGTTGCATTTGTCATATGTATCTGTGCGTGTGGTATATACATATATCTATTCTTGTCACATACTATTGGGTTCTTCGTACGTGAAGAAACAGACCGCTGCCATCAATCGGATTTCGCTAAAATCTCGGGAAAGTAACAGGAATATAGAATTCGCAAAGAGGTATCTGAACTTCTGTTAGAGAGGGAACGCGATACTGCACGAAAAGGACAGAGATACTTGGTCGTCTAACCTATAGAATATTCACGAATTA